TGGGGTGTGTGTGTGTGGTGGAAAAAAAAAGTAGTTAGTAAACAGTTGAGAGGCGGCCCGAAAGCTCAACCCCCGCAAACACAACTAGGTGAATACAAGTAGGTGAATACAACTAGGTGAATACAAGTAGGTGAATACAATCACGGAAGCATTAGAAGATAAACAAGATGCAGATGTGATATATACGTCTTTACACGGACGTGTAAAGACGTTTTGATCATCTGCTTGAGGTTATCTTGAGATGATTTCGGGGCTTAGCGTCCCCGCGGCCGGGTCCTCGACCAGGCCTCCACCCCCAGGAAGCAGCCCGTGACAGCTGAATAACACCCAGTTACCTATTTTACTGCTAGGTAACAGGGGCATAGGGTGAAAGAAACTCTGCCCATTGTTTCTCGCCGGCGCCTGGGATCGAACCCAGGACCACAGGATCACAAGTCCAGCGTGCTGTCCGCTCGGCCGACCGGCTCCCAGTTATTGGTTATTCAACTTCTGGTCAAACAAAATGCAAAGAGTAATAGTCAGTCAAATCAAATCAAGCTCCAAGCACCAGACAGTACAAGCGCTGTACTCCAGGGCTCAGTCTTTGCAACACTGCTCTTTCTCCTTCTCATATCAGATATAGATAACAAAACACAAGCCATAGCTTCATGTCATCACTTAAAGACAATACACAATCAGCTAAACAATTACCTATGTACAATTATGCAATTTGAAATTAATAACGTCTTCGACTGGGCACCGGCAAATAATACGATATTTAACAGTGATAAATTCCACGTACTTAAATATCTTTAAATGAACTAAAATGAATCACAGGGTACAAGACGCGATCAGGTCTATTCACAGACGGTAAAGAAACATGTCAAGGATCTGGGAGAAATGAGAGGATGGATTATGAGAACCTTCTAATTCAGGGATCCCATCACAATGGTTGTACTCTTCAAGTCACTTGTGTTGTCCCGTCTCGAGTACTGCTCAGTACTCACTTCCCCTTCAGAGCAGGAGAGATTGCTGAAGTAGAGGGAATACAGAGAACATATACGGCACGCATAGACGCATAAAGCACCTAAATTATTGGGATCGTCTTAAAGTTCTCCAAATGTACTCACTAGAAAGGAGACGAGAGAGATACCAAATAATATACACGTGGAAAATACTGGAGGGCCAGGTCCCAAATCTACACAGTAAAATAACAACGTACTGGAGTGAACGATATGGAAGAAAATGCAGAATAGAACCAGTGAAGAGCAGAGGTGCCATAGGCACAATCAGAGAACACTGTATAAACATCAGAGGTCCGCGGTTGTTCAACGTCCTCCCAGCGACTATAAGAAATATTGCCGGAACAACCGTGGACATCTTCAAGAGGAAACTAAATAGTTTTCTTAAAGGAGTGCCGGACCAACCGGGCTGTGGTGGGTATGTGGGCCTGCGGGCCGCTCCAACCAACAGCCTGGTGGACCAAACTCTCACAAGTCAAGCCTGGCCTCGGGCCGGGCTTGGGGAGTAGAACAACTCCCAGAACCCCATCAACCAGGTATCAACCAGGTATCAACCAGGTATCAACCAACAGCCTGGTGGACCAAACTCTCACAAGTCAAGCCTGGCCTCGGGCCGGGCTTGGGGAGTAGAAGAACTCCCAGAACCCCATCAACCAGGTATCAACCAACAGCCTGGAGGACCAAACTCTCACAAGTCAAGCCTGGCCTCGGGCCGGGCTTGGGGAGTAGGAGAACTCCCAGAACCCCATCAACCAGGTATCAACCAACAGCCTGGTGGACCAAACTCTCACAAGTCAAGCCTGGCCTCGGGCCGGGCTTGGGGAGTAGGAGAACTCCCAGAACCCCATCAACCAGGTATCAACCAACAGCCTGGTGGACCAAACTCTCACAAGTCAAGCCTGGCCTCGGGCCGGGCTTGGGGAGTAGGAGAACTCCCAGAACCCCATCAACCAGGTATCAACCAACAGCCTGGTGGACCAAACTCTCACAAGTCAAGCCTGGCCTCGGGCCGGGCTTGGGGAGTAGAACAACTCCCAGAACCCCATCAACCAGGTATCAACCAACAGCCTGGTGGACCAAACTCTCACAAGTCAAGCCTGGCCTCGGGTCGGGCTTGGGGAGTAGAAGAACTCCCAAAACCCCATCAACCAGGTATCAACCAACAGCCTGGTGGACCAAACTCTCACAAGTCAAGCCTGGCCTCGGGCCGGGCTTGGGGAGTAGAACAACTCCCAGAACCCCATCAACCAGTATCAACCACAGCCTGGTGGACCAAACTCTCACAAGTCAAGCCTGGCCTCGGGCCGGGCTTGGGGAGTAGAACAACTCCCAGAACCTCATCAACCAGGTATCAACCAACAGCCTGGTGGACCAAACTCTCACAAGTCAAGCCTGGCCTCGGGCTGGGCTTGGGGAGTAGAACAACTCCCAGAACCCCATCAACCAGGTATCAACCAACAGCCTGGTGGACCAAACTCTCACAAGTCAAGCCTGGCCTCGGGCCGGGCTTGGGGAGTAGAACAACTCCCAGAACCCCATCAACCAGGTATCAACCAACAGCCTGTGGACCAAACTCTCACAAGTCAAGCCTGGCCTCGGGCCGGGCTTGGGGAGTAGAAGAACTCCCAGAACCCCATCAACCAGGTATCAACCAACAGCCTGGTGGACCAAACTCTCACAAGTCAAGCCTGGCCTCGGGCCGGGCTTGGGGAGTAGAAGAACTCCCAGAACCCCATCAACCAGGTGTCCGTCTGTCTTGTGGCCCAGTGTGTGTGCACCTGTCATCTCCCAGCGGGACATAAACTGTCTTAGTTTACTTTGTGATGAGGTAAACAGTTTTCTCGCCTCCCCTAGACCATGAGGGCGTCGACCCTATGGTAGACCATGAGGGCGTCGACCCTATGGTAGACCATGAGGGCGTCGACCCTATGGTAGACCATGAGGGCGTCGACCCTATGGTAGACCATGAGGGTGTCGACCATATGGTAGACCATGAGGGGCGTCGACCCTATGGTAGACCATGAAGGGCGTCGACCCTATGGTAGACGTTCAATATAGACGTCAACTGCGTAACACAAACCAGGTCGCAATGACTGAGGAAAGATATAGCGGTTTCGTTATTGAACACTTAAGAGTTTGATGACCCATGGACCTGTGTTGTAATTTATGATAATTATGACAATAAAATTATTTGTCAGAAATTCGAACGATCTTTTAAACTGTTGATGTATGGGAAGGGTAGTGGGGGGTGGGGTAGTTTAGTGGGCTGCGTCACTAGGTAGTTTGTGCTTCAGACTAACGTCAAGTGGTATTAATACTTGGCTTTGGTTACAAGTATGTCCCTTGTACTTGCAACAAGTTCATTACAAGTATATGTGAATGTCCCGCTAACATAGAGGACATTTTCAAATGCAAACACATGAAAAATGTCAAAATTTCACACCCATAATGACACTTCAACCTGGTATACCTTGAAACCAAAATACTGAAGCCTAGATATAGACTCGAACCCGTATCCCAGGTTGCAACGATCACCAGGTGGGCATCAACTAGGAGGCGTCACTAATATTATCTCTGCCAAAATCAGTATATGAAAGTGGTAGGTGAAACCGTGATACACGAAGTCACATAAACACACTTGCCCTGTCGTCAACGGGCAAGAGTTGAGTCAGTCAACACCGACCACGCACCAGAAAGGATAATATATTCTGTGGGCTTGGCACGCTCAGTGTGTTGTTGTTTATGGGAGGTTTCTGTGGAAGCCTGCGTACATGGCGCCACGTGCGGTGTGGCGCCGCGCGGGGACTGGTTTGTTGGTGGCGCCGCGCGGGGACTGGTTTGTTGGTGGCGCCGCGCGGAGCCTGGCGTGTTGGTGGCGCCACGTGGAGCCTGGCGTGTTGGTGGCGCCACGTGGAGCCTGGCCTGTTGGTGGCGCCACGCGGGGCCTGGCCTGTTGGTGGCGCCACGTGGAGCCTGGCGTGTTGGTGGCGCCACGTGGAGCCTGGCCTGTTGGTGGCGCCACGTGGAGCCTGGCCTGTTGGTGGCGCCACGCGGAGCCTGGCCTGTTGGTGGCGCCACGCGGGGCCTGGCTTGTTGGTGGCGCCACGTGGAGCCTGGCCTGTTGGTGGCGCCACGCGGAGCCTGGCCTGTTGGTGGCGCCACGTGGAGCCTGGCCTGTTGGTGGCGCCACGCGGAGCCTGGCCTGTTGGTGGCGCCACGTGGAGCCTGGCGTGTTGGTGGCGCCACGTGGAGCCTGGCCTGTTGGTGGCGCCACGTGGAGCCTGGCCTGTTGGTGGCGCCTCGCGGAGCCTGGCTTGTTGGTGGCGCCACGCGGGGCCTGGCTTGTTGGTGGCGCCGCGCGGAGCCTGGCCTGTTGGTGGCGCCACGCGGGGCCTGGCTTGTTGGTGGCGCCATGCGGGGCCTGGCCTGTTGGTGGCGCCACGCGGAGCCTGGCCTGTTGGTGGCGCCACGTGGAGCCTGGCCTGTTGGTGGCGCCACGTGGAGCCTGGCCTGTTGGTGGCGCCACGCGGGGCCTGGCCTGTTGGTGGCGCCACGCGGGGCCTGGCCTGTTGGTGGTGCCACGCGGAGCCTGGCCTGTTGGTGGCGCCACGTGGAGCCTGGCCTGTTGGTGGCGCCTCGCGGAGCCTGGCTTGTTGGTGGCGCCACGCGGGGCCTGGCTTGTTGGTGGCGCCACGTGGAGCCTGGCCTGTTGGTGGCGCCACGCGGGGCCTGGCCTGTTGGTGGCGCCACGTGGAGCCTGGCTTGTTGGTGGCGCCACGCGGGGCCTGGCTTGTTGGTGGCGCCACGTGGAGCCTGGCCTGTTGGTGGCGCCACGTGGAGCCTGGCTTGTTGGTGGCGCCACGCGGAGCCTGGCTTGTTGGTGGCGCCACGCGGGGCCTGGCGTTTGGTGGCGCCACGCGGAGCCTGGCTTGTTGGTGGCGCCACGCGGGGCCTGGCGTTTGGTGGCGCCACGCGGAGCCTGGCCTGTTGGTGGCGCCACGTGGAGCCTGGCCTGTTGGTGGCGCCACGCGGGGCCTGGCCTGTTGGTGGCGCCACGCGGGGCCTGGCCTGTTGGTGGCGCCACGCGGGGCCTGGCCTGTTGGTGGCGCCTCGCGGAGCCTGGTTTGTTGGTGGCGCCTCGCGGAGCCTGGCCTGTTGGTGGCGCCTCGCGGAGCCTGGCCTGTTGGTGGCGCCTCGCGGAGCCTGGCCTGTTGGTGGCGCCACGCGGGGCCTGGCCTGTTGGTGGCGCCACGCGGGGCCTGGCCTGTTGGTGGCGCCACGCGGGGCCTGGCCTGTTGGTGGCGCCACGCGGAGCCTGGCCTGTTGGTGGCGCCACGCGGGGCCTGGCCTGTTGGTGGCGCCACGCGGGGCCTGGCTTGTTGGTGGCGCCACGCGGGGCCTGGCCTGTTGGTGGCCATTTTGAAAACTATTTTGCTATAACGTGACCTAAAGATTTTCTTATATACTTTCTTCTGACAAGTCAACTTGTCCTCCTACAAAGAACGTCGCTTTCTGATCGTATGCGTTACCTAAGGCCAAAAATTGTCGTACTAGAAAACGGAAGCGGCTGGCGAAAGTGACGTACTGTCCCGTTTTCTGTTTTGGGTCCTCTGGCAGGTTAGGATAAGCGCACTTTAGCTCGACAGTTTCTTGACGTTTAAGGACCTTAAGAAGACGGACTGCACCTTGCCTTACGCAATAACGAAGGCTTTATGCCAGGTACTTGTGTCAGCGGTTATCTTGAGGTTATCTTGAGATGATTTCGGGGCTTTAGTGTCCCCGCGGCCCGGTCCTCGACCAGGCCTCCACCCTCCAGGAAGCAGCCCGTGACAGCTGACTAACACCCAGGTACCTATTTTACTGCTAGGTAACAGGGGCATAGGGTGAAAGAAACTCTGCCCCATTGTTTCTCGCCGGCACCTGGGATCGAACCCAGGACCACAGGATCACAAGTCCAGCGTGCTGTCCGCTCGGCCGACCGGCTCCCTCGACGGGTAGCACTCTCATGCGCCGAGTTCATAGAGCGCATTTTTTCGCCTTAGTCTTCACTCTCTGGTTACATATAAAGTTTTAAACGTTCAGACAAAGCTTTTCTGCACCAAAATTTTTTTAGAAAACTGAAGTTGTAAACATAGTAATTAAAGGAGGAACCTTACGTATTGAGCAGTTTGTTGTGCGTTGGTGTTAACGAGCTCGTTAGCCTCGTTTACCCTCGCTCCTCGTTGTTAGGGGGGGAGGGGGTTGTCTGGAGGGGGGTAAACAGTTTGTTTTGTATTGTTTGTGTGGTTAGAATTGGTTGTTATAGCCGGGTTTTGTTAGTGTGCACGTGTGGGTGTGTTCTGCTTGGGTGTGGAGCCAGGGTGTGGGGGCCAGCCAGGGTGTGTGGCCAGGGTGTGGGGGCTAGGGTGTGGGGGCCAGCCAGGGTGTGTGGCCAGGGTGTGGAGCCAGGGTGTGGGGGCCAGCCAGGGTGTGGGGGCCAACCAGGGTGTGTGGCCAGGGTGTGGGGGCTAGGGTGTGGGGGCCAGCTCGGGTGTGTGGCCAGGGTGTGGGGGCCAGAGTGTGGGGCCAGGGTGTGGGGCCAGGGTGTGGAGCTAGGGTGTGGGGGAGTGGGGGCCCCGGTGTGGGAGCCAGGGTGTGGGGCCTGGGTGTGGGAGCCAGGGTGTGGGGCCTGGGTGTGGGGCCAGGGTGTGGGAGCCAGGGTGTGTGGCCAGGGTGGATTGGCCAGGGTGAGGGAGCCAGGGTGTGTGGCCAGGGTGTGGGGGCCAGGGTGAGGGAGCCAGGGTGTGTGGCCAGGGCGTGGGGGCCAGGGTGAGGGAGCCAGGGTGTGTGGCCAGGGTGTGGGGCCAGGGTGTGGAGTCAGGGTGTGGGGGAGTGGGGGCCAGGGTGTGGGGGCCAGGGTGTGGGAGCCAGTGTGTGGAGCCAGAGTGTGGTGCCAGGGTTTGGGGGCCAGGGTGTGGAGCCAGGGTGTGGGGGCCAGGGTGTGGGGCCAGGGTGTGGAGCCAGGGTGTGGGGGCCAGGGTGTGGGGGCCAGGGTGTGGGAGCCAGGGTGTGGAGCTAGAGTGTGGGGCCAGGGTGTGGGGGCCAGGGTGTGGAGCCAGGGTGTGGGGGCCAGGGTGTGGAGCCAGGGTGTGGGAGCCAGGGTGTGGAGCCAGAGTGTGGAGCCAGGGTGTTATGGGGGCCAGGGTGTGGGCCAGGTGTGGGGCCAGAGTGTGGAGCCAGGGTATGGGAGCCAGGGTGTGGGGCCAGGGTATGGGAGCCAGGGTGTGGAGCCAGGGTGTGGGAGTCAGGGTGTGGGGCCAGGGTGTGGGGGCCAGGGTATGGGAGCCAGAGTGTGGAGCCAGGGTATGGGAGCCAGGGTGTGGGGGCCAGGGTATGGGAGCCAGGGTGTGGAGCCAGGGTGTGGGGGCCAGGGTGTGGGGGCCAGGGTGTGGGGCCAGGGTGTGGAGCCAGGGTGTGGAGCCAGAGTGTGGGGGGCCAGAGTGTGGGGGGCCAGGGTGTGGAGCCAGGGTGTGGGGCCAGGGTGTGGGGGCGTCTCACACCCCAACACTAAGACAACATGGTCGGTATGTGTGGCCCTCCCTGGCATAAGGGCCTGGTTCTCACCCTTATGAGCCCCTCTGAGGCTACACGACCAGTGATGAGTCGGGTCTCGTGAACCAGGACGACCTTGGGGTGGTTGTGGACCAGCCCGTCCTCCTCTCGATTGACTACTCCGTCAAAAATCCAACCTTTTTACCAGAAAGTAGTTACCCATGCAGCAAGCAACCCGATCATATCCCATGCATAGAAAACGGATATATATATATATATTTATGAGCTGTGACTCTTCTAAATAGGCTACAATATTATGTTGGTTACGATAACGTAACAAACCCGACCTATATATATTGGTAGGGAGGACGAGTCACAGTGCAGCGGGTCTCGGGTCCGAGTGAACGGCTCTCAAACGGCATATAAACAAAACTATTTGTTGTTCAGTTTGAGTTATATATTAGTGCCGTTATTTAGAGCACTGGCCCCTGCCTGCACGTTGGCTGGCGTTGGCAACCCTGGGGTATGTTGGGTCTGGGGTATGTTGAGCCTGGGGTATGTTGGGTCTGGGGTATGTTGGGTCTGGGGTATGTTGGGTCTGGGGTATGTTGGGTCTGGGGTATGTTGGGTCTGGGGTATGTTGGGTCTGGGGTATGTTGGGCCTGGGGTATGTTGGGCCTGGGGTATGTTGAGCCTGGGGTATGTTGGGTCTGGGGTATGTTGGGCCTGGGGTATGTTGGGCCTGGGGTATGTTGGGCCTGGGGTATGTTGGGCCTGGGATAGGTTGGGTCTGGGGTATGTTGAGCCTGGGGTATGTTGGGTCTGGGGTATGTTGGGTCTGGGGTATGTTGGGCCTGGGGTATGTTGGGTCTGGGGTATGTTTGGGTCTGGGTTATGTTGGGTCTGGGGTATGTTGGGTCTGGGGTATGTTGGGTCTGGGGTATGTTGGGTCTGGGGTATGTTGGGCCTGGGGTATGTTGGGCCTGGGGTATGTTGGGTCTGGGGTATGTTGAGCCTGGGGTATGTTGGGTCTGGGGTATGTTGGGCCTGGGGTATGTTGGGCCTGGGGTATGTTGGGCCTGGGATAGGTTGGGTCTGGGGTATGTTGAGCCTGGGGTATGTTGGGTCTGGGGTATGTTGGGTCTGGGGTATGTTGGGCCTGGGGTATGTTGGGTCTGGGGTATGTTGGGTCTGGGGTATGTTGGGCCTGGGGTGTGTTGGGTCTGGGGTATGTTGGGCCTGGGGTATGTTGGGCTTGGGGTATGTTGGGCCTGGGGTATGTTGGGTCTGGGGTATGTTGGGCCTGGGGTATGTTGGGCCTGGGATAGGTTGGGCCTGCGGGCTGACCCAAGCAACAGCCTGTTGGACCAAGTTCTCCCAAGACATGGGCCTGGGGTTCTGGGAGTAGAACCCCAGCAGGGAGCTGGGGGCTAGGGTTCTACGGGGAGCTGGGGGCTAGGGTTCTACGGGGAGCTGGTGGCTAGGGTTCTACGGGAAGCTGGGGGCTAAGGTTCTACGGGGAGCTGGGGGCTAAGGTTCTACGGGGAGCTGGTGGCTAGGGTTCTACTGGGAGCTGGGGGCTAGGGTTCTACGGGGAGCTGGGGCTAAGGTTCTACGGGGAGCTGGGGGCTAGGGTTCTACAGGGAGCTGGGGGCTAGGGTTCTACGGGGAGCTGGGGGGCTAGGGTTCTACGGGGAGCTGGGGGCTAAGGTTTCTACGGGAGCTGGGGGCTAGGGTTCTACGGGGAGCTGGGGGCTAGGGTTCTACAGGGAGCTGGGGGCTAGAGTTCTACGGGGAGCTGGGGCTAGGGTTCTACGGGAGCTGGGGCTAGGGTTCTACGGGGAGCTGGGGGCTAAGTTCTACGGGGAGCTGGGGGCTAAGGTTCTACGGGGAGCTGGGGGCTAGGGTTCTACGGGGAGCTGGGGGCTAAGGTTCTACGGGGGAGCTGGGGGCTATGGTTCTACGGGGAGCTGGGGGCTAGGGTTCTACGGGGAGCTGGGGGCTAGGGTTCTACGGGGAGCTGGGGACTAGGGTTCTACGGGAAGCTGGGGGCTAGGGTTTCTACAGGAGCTGGGGGCTAGGGTTCTACATGGAGCTGGGGGTTAGGGTTCTACGGGGAGCTGGGGGCTAGGGTTCTACAGGGAGCTGGGGGCTAGGTTCTACGGGAGCTGGGACTAGGGTTCTACGGGAAGCTGGGGGCTAGGGTTCTACGGGGAGCTGGGGGCTAGGGTTCTACAGCGAGCTGGGGGCTAGGGTTCTACAGGGAGCTGAACACCCCAAGAACCCTCTCCAGGTCTATTCCAGGTTCACAAGCTGTAATATGTTCCATTGAACAGAATGTAACATTGTAGAAATGTATTGAGTGAATAAGACTCGCTAATAATGTTATTATGTTCCAGGTGTGGTGGTGGTGCTTGGCCTCTCCCTCCGCGCCGGCCGTGTGAGGGCGCTATATGTAGCGGACTGTGGTCAGTATTGCCTGGTGTCATGTAGCGGGAACTGCTATATACACTCTCAGCTCAACCCGTCCTCTTAATAATAACGTCACTTTTGGCTCGTATGCGCGGCACTATGGCCAAATTTGGACGTAATTTGAAATGAAATCGACTCACAAAAGTGACGTACTGTTCCGTTTTCTGTTTGAGTCGTCCCGCTTACTCGGTAAGCTTAGAAGAGGAACTTTCAATTCACGTTTTTCATAACGTTTTGAAACTTTATGAGAATTTCCTGCCCACCTAACCTATCAGAGGACCCTTAACTTACTGTTGTTGAAAAAAAAATCCCAAATTTATTTTCCGAGCTAACCCATTCATCCTCAGCCCATGCCGTGAAAGCAATAGCCCCATTCATGGGTTACACCCACGATTCAAACCAGAAATACTAGCCTAAAATTCCTGAAAGTTTTTGATTAGTCACAATTCTTGCATTTCACATTTCATCACATTAAGTGAGACAGGATGTGAAATTATTCATAGTTTTGGTGACACAGTTCTACACCTGGCCAGATCTACATCAGCAGACAAGGCTGAGGTAGAAAAGTATAAAGTGTAGGAGTTTGCTGAGGTTATTGAATGATCTTGGTTATCTTAACGTTATCTTGAGATGATTTCGGGGCTTTAGTGTCCCCGCGGCCCCGGTCCTCGACCAGGCCTCCACCCCCAGGAAGGGACTGGGGCTAGGGAGAGGGGGTCTACGGGGGGCTGGGCTGGGGTTGGGCTGGCGGGGGTCAACACCTATATCCTTTGATCTGTTTTCTTTTTATCGGCTTATATCGGCCTGGTCGAGGACCGGGCCGCGAAGACGTTGATCCCTGAAATCATCGCAAGATTATTGTGGCCTGTTTGTGCCTCCCTCGCGACCTTGTTTGTGTTTTAAACAAATCCTTCTGTGCCGTCAACACACTATTGACAGCTGTCAACATACCACCTCCTTGTATGACAACAGAGTAAAAGTGTCCAAAATCTCCATCAAACCCAACATTTCTTTTAAATACAATCAACCCGTCTATGATATTCCTCTCTATCTGTACCTCACCATTCAGGTATCACACAGACCCGTCACCAAGAACGGTAATGAGAATCTTGCTCGTGTCACAAAGCTGTCACATTGTAAACAATTGGGTCTTCTATCATAACTCTAAGATCTCAGGAGCACTGTGTCTACACCGACGGCTCAGTACAGTCTTCTACAAGACGGACTGCAGCAGCAGCATGTAGGTATTATAGACACAATACTTGCGCACACACACACACACACACACACACACACACACACACACACACACACACACACACACACACACACACACACACACACACACACACACACACACAGACGGATTGGCGAGACGTCACAAGTGGAGTCCCGCAGGGGTCAGTCCTTGGACCTATACTGTTTCTGGTATATGTAAATGATCTCCCAGAGGGTATAGATTCGTTCCTCTCAATGTTTGTCGACGATGCAAAAATTATGAGGAGGATTGAAACAGAGGATGATAGTAGGAGGCTACAAGATGACCTGGATGGACTGAGTGAATGGTCCAACAAATGGCTGTTGAAGTTCAACTCTGAGTAAATGCAAAGTAATGAAACTAGGCAGTGGAAACAGGAGGCCAGGCACAGGATACAGAATAGGAGATGAAGTACTTAATGAAACAGACAGAGAGAAAGATCTAGGAGTTGATATCACACCAAACCTGTCTCCTGAAGCCCACATAAAGAGAATAACGTCTGCGGCATATGCGAGGCTGGCTAACATCAGAACGGCGTTCAGGAACCTGTGTAAGGAATCATTCAGAATCTTGTACACCACATATGTAAGACCAATCCTGGAGTATGCGGCCCCAGCATGGAGCCCGTACCTTGTCAAGCACAAGACGAAGCTGGAAAAAGTCCAAAGGTATGCTACTAGACTAGTCCCAGAACTAAGAGGCATGAGTTTATGAGGAAAGGCTGCGGGAAATGCACCTTACGACACTGGAAGACAGAAGAGTAAGGGGGACATGATCACAACCTACAAAATCCTCAGGGGAATCGACCGGTAAACAAGGATGAACTATTCAACACTGGTGGGACGCGAACAAGGGGACACAGGTGGAAGCTGAGTACCCAAATGAGCCACAGAGACGTTAGAAAGAACTTTTCAGTGTCAGAGTAGTTAGTAAATGGAATGCATTAGGAAGTGATGTGGTGGAGGCTGACTCCATACACAGTTTCAAATGTAGATATGATAGAGCCCAGTAGGCTCAGGAATCTGTACACCAGTTGATTGACAGTTGAGAGGCGGGACCAAAGAGCCAGAGCTCAACCCCCGCAAGCACAAATAGGTGAATAGGTGAGTACACACACACACACACACACACACACACACACACACACACACACACACACACACACACACACACACACACACACACACACTATCAGTGTCAGGTTAAAGAACTGACTGACCTCTACACAAACACACTAGCGGCGCTACAACTATAGCTACCAGTACATTAACAATCACAGCAGGAGGAATAATATGTTGTGATTCATTGACAGACAGACAGACATTGCAGCCAAATTAGCGTAAACAAAGATCAATTTGAATTAAGACCTAAATGTTCCCATCTCTGGTGTCAAGACCCCCCAAACTCTAAGGTCCGAAAGGAGAGAAATGACTGACTCTCAAAGGCATGAAAGCACCAGTGTAAAATGCTATGATTTGTTCAGATTTTCAAGCACAAGCGCTTCTGACATTGGGAAGGTGTTAGTGTACTCACCTAGTTGTGCTTGCGGGGATTGAGCTGTGGCTCTTTGGTCCCGCCTCTCAACTGTCAAACAATCACACACCAGTGTGTGGGTGTGTGGGGGGGGGGGGTTATCTTCTTGAGGTTATCATGAGATGATTTCGGGGCTTTAGTGTCCCCGCGGCCCGGTCCTCGACCAGGCCTCCACCCCCAGGAAGCAGCCCGTGACAGCTGACTAACACCCAGGTACCTATTTTACTGCTAGGTAACAGGGGCATAGGGTGAAACAAACTCTGCCCATTGTTTCTCGCCGGCGCCTGGGATCGAACCCGGGACCACAGGATCACAAGTCCAGCGTGCTGTCCGCTCGGCCGACCGGCTTTGGGGTGGCTATAAGAAAGGTATAGGAGGAGGAGGCCCCCAGGCTACGGGGGCCTCGTAGCCTGGTGGATAGCGCGCAGGACTCGTAATTCTGTGGCGCGGGTTCGATTCCCGCACGAGGCAGAAACAAATGGGCAAAGTTTCTTTCACCCTGAATGCCCCTGTTACCTAGCAGTAAAATAGGTACCTGGGAGTTAAGTCAGCTGTCACGGACTGCTTCCTGGGGGTGGAGGCCTGGTCGAGGACCGGGCCGCGGGGACACTAAAAGCCCCGAAATCATCTCAAGATAACCTCAAGGAGGAGGAGTGACACAAAATGCACAGACTTCCTCATGTTACTCAGTAACGTTACTCTGTCAATCATTGCTCCAGTAATGACAAGTTATAATGAGGGTGTCAGTAATGACCGTCTTGAAGGATACGTCATTATATGTTGTTGTTGTTGTTGTTAAAGATTCGCTGCCTGGAACAACAAGTTCCAAGTAGCACGGTCTATGGTGAGCCCGTAGTGGACTTACCTGGCACAGGAGCGGGGCAAGTAGCACGGGCTATGGTGAGCCCGTAGTGGACTTACCTGGCACAGGAGCGGGGCAAGTAGCACGGGCTATGGTGAGCCCGTAGTGGACTTACCTGGCACAGGAGCGGGGCAAGTAGCACGGGCTATGGTGATCCCGTAATGGACTTACCAGGCACAGGAGCGGGGCAAGTAGCACGGGCTATGGTGAGCCCGTAGTGGACTTACCTGGCACAGGAGCGGGGCAAGTAGCACGGGCTATGGTGAGCCCGTAGTGGACTTACCTGGCACAGGAGCGGGGCAAGTAGCACGGGCTATGGTGAGCCCGTAGTGGACTTACCTGGCACAGGAGCGGGGCAAGTAGCACGGGCTATGGTGAGCCCGTAGTGGACTTACCTGGCACAGGAGCGGGCAAGTAGCACGGGCTATGGTGAGCCCGTAGTGGACTTACCTGGCACAGGAGCGGGGCAAGTAGCACGGGCTATGGTGAGCCCGTAGTGGACTTACCTGGCACAGGAGCGGGGCAAGTAGCACGGGCTATGGTGAGCCCGTAGTGGACTTACCTGGCACAGGAGCGGGGCAAGTAGCACGGGCTATGGTGAGCCCGTAGTGGACTTACCTGGCACAGGAGCGGGGCAAGTAGCACGGGCTATGGTGAGCCCGTAGTGGACTTACCTGGCACAAGAGCGGGGCAAGTAGCACGGGCTATGGTGAGCCCGTAATGGAGTTACAGATCAACCTCTCTTACAAAGCACGTCGCTTTTCGCCCGTAGGCGTTACCTAAGGCCAGAAATTATCGTACCAGAAAATGAAAGCGGCTGGCGAAAAGTGACGTACTGTCCCGTTTTCTGTTTTGGGTCCTCTGGTAGGTTAGGGGAGACCACCTTAAATTAACCGTTTTCTAGACGTTGGGGGAAACCTTAGCAGATCGCCTCCCCTCTGTCAGTTACCCTTCCATCTCCCCCCTGCCCCTATTCCTTCCCCTCTTCCCCCCTTCCCCCCTCCCCCCTACCCTTCCCAGGGACCCCCCCCAGCCTGGGGAGGGGGAGACCACCGGCTCCGGTAACTGGTGTTCGTGTTATGATGTATAAGGCCCAGGGGAGAGCAGCAGTCTGGCTTCACCTTGGGGGACAGTCTCCACCTCCTGGGCCCCGCCTCGCCCGCTATGACGCATTCTGTAATGACTCCAGACCTTCAGTAACGGCTCCAGACCTTCAGTAACGGCTCCAAACCTTCAGTAACGGCTTCAGACCATCAGTGCTACTTCAGACCTGGAGGGGGGGGGGAGGGAAGGGAACCATCAGGAGAGAGCGCCAAGCCATTACGACTATATAGCACTGGGAA